TTTTTTTTTCAATTTTATTCTCACAGGAAGCTAAATTATTATTAGATCTTCTGATCCTATATAAGGAGCCATCATGGTCTCAATGGTTAAACACTTGATGCTTGCTAACTGAAAGGTTGATGTTTCAAACCCACCCACTCCCCCATTCTGTGGGAGAAAGACCTGATCTGATATGCTTTCATAAAAATTAAAGCTAAGACAATCCTAAGGGGCAGTTTCACTCTGTCAGAATTGACTTGACGGCACCCAACTGCAGCTATGAATCCTGTGCTGTTGTTGTTGTTGTTCATTGCTGTTGAGTTGATTCTGACCCATAGCGACCCAGTATGCAGTTTCCAGGGAGTAGCTGGTAGGTTTGAACTGCTGATCTTGTAATTTGCAATCTAGTGCTGATCCTACAATGCCAAATCAGTTTCCAATCCTGAGAAACCTGGTTTTAGTAATCAGGACTGGCCCAATTAGATTTTTTCCTTATTCTTATGACATGGCCATCCTGGAGTCTTAACTGAATACATGAAATGTTGCTGCAACCTGTCTACCCTAGCTGTTTCAAAAAATAAGTCTCTCAGACTGACTGATCTCCAGTATCTCTGTATCACTCCTAGGCCTTCAGCAGACACTCACTGGTAGGATTTGGCTTTCCTGAGGATGCACAGACCAGCTCTCAGTAAAAGACCCATACAGATGTCTAAGTCAGCTCTCTATGCAGTTCCTCTTCTTTAATATCCATCATGCAAGTTCCAAACTGCTGGGATCCCTGCCTCTTCACTTCACTGAGACTGCTGTGCTTGGCAGGGGCTCATCTTCCTAATGCATGGCCTAAAACCTCTCCCTAGTCTGCATATTTCTTTTCTCACAGTAGCTTTTGCCCTGTGATCTCTGTTATTCATTGCCAAAGAAGCAATTATCTCCTATATTCTGCTCAGCTTTTTAGTTCTCAGTTTAAGGAATGTAAATCCATTATGCTCTCAAGGATGAAAGCAGAAGACACCTACTTGAATTGAAATGTATTATTGGATCCAATGTACAAATTGTATAGGCTTTTCTCTAAAAAGTACTTCACCACTTGTCTGTCGGTTTGTCATACTGTGGTGGCTTGCATATTGCTGTGATTCTGGAACCTATACACTGGTATTTTAAATACTGCCAGGATCACTCATGGTGGACAGGCTTCAGCTGATCTTCCAGACTAGATAAACTAGGAAGAAGGAGAGATGGACTTCTTCCAAATATTTAGTCACTGGAAACCTTATGAATAGCAATGGAACACTGTTAGATAGCTCCAGAATATTGAATATTGAAATATGATGAAAAGCACCAAAAGATTGTCAGATATTGTGCCACAAGATGAGCCCCTCAGGTTGGAAGTCACTCAAAATACACAGAAATCGAATTGAATACATCTGTGGAAAGTAACAATGGAAGAGCTCCGTATCATCAGTCAAAACAAGGGAAACTGTGGAACAAACCATCAATTGTTCAATCTTTTGTCCATTAAAAAAAAAAAAATTATGAATGCATTTATTTCCATTCAAAGGATATACTTACGTTGCTGATATTATCCACAGTTAAATTTATTTTTTTTAAAGCTTTTATTGTGAAATGAGTGATAATTTACATGGGAGAATATCAGTTTTGCTCCTATTCTATAGTGTTTTGTTTCATTCGTTGCAATTATTACAATCCCCCCCCATGCATCATCATTTAGCAGTATTTGCTTCTAATCTGTTTTATTTATTTATTTTGATGTACACAAAAACACAGAAGAATATGTAATCATTTAAACAACCAAAGGGCACATTCTGCAAGCCAGGCTCCTGGCCGCCAGCACACAGCCTTTCTCTTTCCATTGGTCTATCTATAGTCCTCAGCTGCTCTATCTCTCCGTGTCCTCATCTCTGCCTCCATCTCTGATGTTGCTGCTTCTCCACTCATGCTTTTCTCTCCTGATAGTATTAGGGTCTTCTACTTTTGCCCATTTTTCATTTTATTATTATTTTTTTGACTGAGTTTTGAGAGGCCTCTGCGAAAGCTGTGATTTGGGAATATTTCCCCCCCTGTCTATAGTTGGGCTTTTCACTATTTTAATGGTACATTTCACAGAGCAAAATATTTTTAAAATATGCTGAAGTTCAGTATACCAATATTTTTTCTGTTATTAAACTATTTATTGGCTTTAAGAATATTTTTTTTTGTCTAGCTAGAAGTGAAAATATTTTCTCTTGTATTATTTTTTAAGGAGAGGGGTAAAAATGTTAGAGTTGACATTTACATTTAGATTTTTAAACATTTTTAGTTAATTTTCATGTAGATTTATGTAAATGATAGGCTGGTTTGTTTTGTATACAGATCCTTGTATTAATTACCTATTATTACTAGCAAATTGAGTTTTGATGTGGTGCTGTAGGATAAGTACTGAACTGGTAATGGCAAGATTGACAGTTCAAACCTCCAGTCACTCACAGAAACCCTATAGAGGATCTTTTCAGTCAGAACTGTCTGGACAGCACACAACAACAACTAGGAAATCATCCCATACACAGTGGCTAAAAACTGAAAACATTTTTTTACCTCACAGACTTGGTAGGTCCAGAATCTGAAAACAGCTTACGTGAGTCATTCTGGCTCAGAGTATCTCATAACAGTTGTAGTCAAGCTGTCAGCTGCGGCCTCAGACAACTCAGGGCTGAGCTAAAGTATAATCTACTTCTTAGCTCAGTCATATCACTGTTAGAAGGCCTCAGAAGATTACTTCCAAGCTTTTTCATGTGGTGGTTTTTAAGTCAAGTGCCGTCGAGACAATTCTGACCCATAACGACCCTGTATAGGGTTTCCAAGGAACAGCTGGTGAGCTTGAACCACCGACCTCACAGTTCAAATGGCTTTGCAGTGTGGTGCATTAACCTACAGTGCCACACCAGGACTCCATAGGCTGCTTTAATGTCCTTACAACATGGCAGCTGACATCCCTTCTCCTGGAATGCCTTGCAACACAGTGTAGCAGCTCTCTTCCACCAGAGGAAATGATTTAAGAGACAGAGAAAGTGAGAGCAAACTTAAAACAAAATTAAACCTTACTAGTTATAAAAGAAATAAAGATTAAATGGTGTCTGTTGTTCATCCAGTTAACAAAGAAGAAAAAGGTATATAGTGCTGAGTGGTGCACATTCATACACTTTCAGTAAGAAAGTAATAATTGTTTCAACTATTTTAGAGAGTCATTCAAAGAAGTCTATACAGTGACTGCTGTCAAGCTGATTCTGGTTCATAGTAGCTCTATAAAACACTAGAATTTTCCCATAGAGTTTCCAAGGCTGAAATCTTTACAGAAGCATACTACCACACCTTCTCTTGTGGAGAGGCTGGTGGGTAGATACAAACTGCCAGTCTTTCAGTGAGTAGCCAAGTACTTAACCAGTTTGTCACCAGTGCTTCTGTTTTCATACCCTTAACTCTCTGGTTTGGCTTTTGAAAGATAAACACTACACTGCTAACCACAAGGTTACTGGTTCAAATCCACCAGCTGTTCCTAAAAACCCTATAGAGTTGCTATGAGTTGGAACTGACTCAACAACACTTAATAACAACAACAAGCTCACTGAGCAAAATCAGACATCAAAAATGGGGACAAATGCTAATCAATAAAGATATTCAGTAATAAGTAAATAGTTAAATAAGAACACAGACTTTAGACTGCTGACCACAAGTTTGGTGGCTCAGACCCACTAGCTGCTCCCTAAAATCCCTATACAAGATCGCTATGAATCAGAACTAACTTGACAGTACTTAACAACAGCAACACCTTTAGGATTAAAGACTATATTGGGATTTAAAATTACGTTCTCAAAGAATATGTACTATCTTGGGAAATGTACACAACATGTTAAATGAAATATTCAAGGTTAGAAAAATATGTATGAGTATAAATGCACACACTATATAAAAATATGTTGTGGTAATATCCCAAAATAATAAGCATTACTGGTTCTCTGATGTGGTACAATTAAGAAGGATTTGTATCGTCTTCAAATTTTTCTGTAATGTGTATATTTCATGGAATAAATGTTACTACTTTTTAATTATGGAAAAATAGATTATTTTAATGATTAATTTAAAGTACACTGAAATGGTGTGCCTTAAGGAAACCGTCCAGTTAATGATATTATAAAGTTACTATTTTTGTAATGAGAAGTCTTACTCCTCAATGTATATATTTTGGTGGTAAAAAGTGTTTGCATTTTTTTCTTGAACAGGGTTCACATGCACCTTTTTAACAGAAACAGAAAACAATATATTTTTAAGAAACCCTTGAAAGTTTTCTAGTGTTAAGAAAAGCAATATTCTGAACAATTGGTAATATTTCATTCAAAACATAGCATTGTCTAAGTTGATTTACATGTCTGTTTTCATGTGTATGTTAGATTATACCTCAGGAGAATGATACACGCTCTAGCCTGACCTATAAATATATCATCCATGAAGACTCTGTACCTACAATCAACAGCAACAATGTCATCCAGGAAGAATTAGACACTTTTGAGTGGGCTTTGAAGAGCTGGTCCCAGTGTTCCAAACCCTGTGGTGGAGGTAACAATTGAATACTTGTTATATTAAAATACAGTTCATAAAAAGCAAGTCTTCTTGCTTCTACCTTAAGGATTACCTCTAATAGGGATAACATTCTTAGAATCAGTAAATAAATAAAATGTAAGTTAAAAGCATTTTTATTGCAATCTCAGAATCAGAACAGGATAAACATCCATTTATGTTGTTGTTCAGTTCCTTCGAGTTGATTCTGACTCATAGTGACCCTGTGTAGGGTTTCCAAGGAGTAGCTGGTGAATTTGAACTGCCAGCCTTTGCAGTTTAAACTGACCTTGTGGTCCAGTGCATTATCCCACATTCTGCTTAAAATCCTCTTTCTTCTTCTCTTAGGTTCTTTGTTTCACATTCATTTTAGTAGTATTGCTAATCACTTTACTCTAACCAAACACTAAAACATTCAATTCAGTGCACTCTGGTTCTCCTCTTTATTCTTTGCTACTTTTACTTCCTTATCTATTCATTTCTTTTTGATAAAGATTAATAAATAATAAAAGATCTGTTATTGATACTGGTATAGCACTGATTATGTATCAGATGCTATATATGTTTTAATTTTGCTTGCTTTACATGTTAAATGCTACATATTTTAATTTATGAATTCTTACACTAACCCTATGAAGTCAGTATAATGCCTATTATATTGATTTTTAACAAAACAAAACAAAATCATTGCCATTGAATTTATTCCAACTCAAAACTACTCTGTAGGGCAGGGTAAAGCTGCCCCATAGGGTTTCCAAAGCTATACTCTTTACAGAAGCGGACTGCCATATCTTTCTCCTGCAGAGCTGATGGTAGGTTCTAACTCCTGACCTTTTGGTTAGCATCTGAGTGTTTTAACCACCTTGCCATCTTTGCTCCATTACCTGAGCCCAGTTTCTAACCAAAGCACTTCATGTGCAGCTACCACCTGCCTGGCAGTAGACGGTTGCTTGTTGCTATGATGCTGAGCAGATTTCAATGGAGCTTCTAGACTAGGAGAACCCTGGAAGAACAGCATGGTGATATACTTCTGAAAATCAGCCACAGAAAACCTACAGATTACAAAGGTCTGATTAACAGTGCTTCATGGGAATGGAACACAGCTGGGAATTATTTGGTTAATTTCTGAATTGGATTGTTATGAGAGCCAAAGTTTGGCCATCTTGGCCTCCAAGGAGCACTCTGGCCGCACTTCTTCCAACACAGATTTGTTGGTTCTTTGGCAGCCCATGGTACTTTCAATATTCTTCTCCAACACCATAACTCAAAAACATCAGTTCTTCTATGGTCTTCCTTATTCACTGTCCAGCTTTCGTATGCATATAAAGTTAATGAAAATACATCTTTGCACTTCAACATTTTATAAAGGTCTTGTGCAGCAGATTTGCCTAATGCAGTGCATCATTTGATTTCTTGACTGCTGCTTCCATGAGTGTTGATGGTTGACCCAAGAAAAATTAAGTCCTTGACAACATCAATCTTTTCTCCCTTGATAAGAATGATGTTTATTGGTCCAGTGGTGAGGATATTTGTTTTCTTTACATTGAGATGCATTCCATACCAAAAGTTGTCTGTCGTTTTTAATCTTAATCAGTAAGTATTTTAAGTCCTCTTCACTTTCAGCAAGCAAGGTTGTATCATCTGCATATTGCAGGTTGTTAATGAGTCTTCCTCTAATCCTCATGCCAAGTTATTCTTTATATAACCCAGCTTCTTGGATTATTTGCTTAGAATACAGACTGAATAGTATGGTGAAAGAATACAACCCTGTCGCACACCTTTCTTAATTTTAAACAATTTTGTTTTCCCATGTTCTGTTCGAACAAGTGCCTCTTGGTCCATGTACACATTCCTCACAAGCACAATTAAGTGTTCAGGAATATTCATACTTCACAATGTTGACCATAGCTTGTCATGATCCCCACAATCAAAAGTCTTTGTGTAGTCAGTAAAGCACAGGTAAACATCTTTCTGAGATTCTCTGCTTTCATCCAAAATCCGTCAGACATCAGCAATGATAGCCCTCATTCCACAGCCTCCTCTTAATCTTACTTGAACCTCTTGAAGTTCTCTATCAATGTATGCTTGCAGCCATTTCTCTATTACCTTTAGTTAAACTTTACTCACATGGGACATTAAAAAATGTTGTTCGATGATTTCCACATTCCATTGGGTCACCTCTCTTTGGAATGGGCACAAATATGTATTTCTTCCATTCTGTTGGTCAGATAGTTGTCTTCCAAATGTCTTGGCATAGATGAGTGAGTGCCTCCAGTGCTGCCTCACTTGCTTGAAAGATTTCAATTTTTCTTTCATCACTTCCTGATGCCTTGTTCTTTGCCAATTCCTTCAATGCACCTTGAACTTCTTCATCAGTATCATTAGCTCTTGATCAAATGCTACCTCTTGAAACAGTTGAACATCAATCATTTCCTTTTGGTACAGTGACTCTGTTGATTCCTTCCATATTTTTTTATTATTTCTGCATCATTCAATAATTTGCCCAGATAATCCTTCAGTAACGAAAGGTGAGGCTTGAATTTTTCTTCAGTTCCCCCAGCTTGAGAAATGTTGAACATGCTTTTCCTTTTTGGTTTTCTGATTCCAGATCTTTGCACATTTCATTGTAATATTTGACTTTGTATTCTCTAGATGACCTTAGAAGTTTTCTTTCCAGCCCTTGTATCTCCTCATTTCTTCCATTTGCTTTAGCATTGCTGTGCTAGAGAGCAAGTTTCAGTGTCTCTTCTGACATCCATTTTGATCTTTTCCTTCTTTCTTGTCTTCTTAATGACTTTTTGCTTTCTTCTTGTATGATGTTCTTAACATCATCCCACAACTTTTCTTGTCTTTGGTCTTTAGTGTTTAATGTCTCAAATTTGTTCTTCAGATGATTTCTAAATGCACGTGGTATTTATTCAAGGTCGTATTTTAGCTGTCCTGTACTTGTTTTCATTTTCTTCAGCTTCAGTATGAATTTGCATATAAGAAATTGCTAATCTGTTCCACAGTCTGCCCCTGGCCTTGTTTTGGCTGATGATATGGAGCTTTTCCACCATCTCTTTCCACAGATGTAATTAATTTGATTTCTGTGTATTACATCTGGTGAAGTCCATATGTATAATCATCTCTTATGCTATTTAAAGAAGATATTGGAAATGAACAAATCATTGGTTTTACAGAATTCTATCATGCGATCTCCAGCATCATTTCTATCACCAAGGCCATATTTTCCAACTACTGATTCTTTCTCTTTGTTTCCAATCATCAGTAATGATCAATACATCTTGACTGCATGTTTGATCAATATCAGATTGAAGAAGTTGGTGGAATTCTTCTATTCACCCTCACTGGCTTTAGTCATTGGTGCATAAATTTGAATAAAAGTGGTATAAACTGGGCTTCCCTGTAGGCACATGGAATCCTATCACAGACAGCGTTGTACCTCATGACTGATCAGGATATGTTCTTTTTGATGATGAATGCACCACTATTCCTCTTCAATTTGTAATTCCTGGAATAGTAAACCATGTGGTTGTCAGATTCAAAATGGCCAATCCCTGTCCATTTCAGCTCACTTATTGATGTTTGTGTATTCAATTTTATTTTTGACAATTTCCAATTTTCCTAGATTCATACTTTGTACATTCCATGTTCTGATTATTAATGGATGCTTACAGCTGTTTCTCTTCATTTTGAGTTGTGCCCCATCAGCAAATGAAGGTCCCACGGGCTTTACTCCCACAAGCTTTTCTCCATTCACATCATCACGGTCAACTGTAGTTTGAGGAGGCAGCTCTTCCTCTGTTACATTTTAGTGCCTTCCAACATTCCAACATGAGGGGCTCATTTTCCAGCACTATATCTTGATATCCATGGCATGTCAAGAAATCAAAAATCCTCACCACTGGACCAATAAACAACATTCTTATCAATGGAAAAAAGATTGAAGTGGTCAAGGACTTCATTCTTCTTGGATCAACTATCAACACTCACGGAAGCAGCAGTCAAAAGATCAGATGACATATTGTATTAGGCAAATCTGTTGCACAGGAACTTTTTAAAGTGTTGAGGAGCAAAGATGTCACCTTGAGGACTAAGGTGTGCCTGACCCAAGCCATGGTATTTTCAATAACCTCATATGGATGCGAAAGCTGGACAGTGAATAAGGAAGATGTAGAAGAATTGATGCCTTTGAATTGTGGTGTTGGAGGAAAATACTAAAAGTGCCATGGGCTGCCAAAAGAACCAATAGATCTGTTTTGGAAGAAGTGCAGCCAGAGTGCTCCTTGGATGGCTAAACTTTGTCTCTCATACTTTGGACATATTGTTATGAGGGAGCAGTCACTGGAGAAGGATGTCATGCTAGGTAAGATGGAGGGTCAGAAAAAAAGAGGAAGACCCCCAACGAGATGGATCGGCCAGGTGGCATCATTGATGGTGTCAAGTGTGGCAGCAATAGTGAAGTTGGCCCAGGATCAGACATTGTTTGGTTCTGCTGTGCATGGAGTCTCTGTGAGTCAGTTCCGACTCGATGGCACCTGACAACAACAACAACAACAACTTGTCATAACAAACCTGAAGAGGATCTGGTTTGAAACACTAGGGATAAGATGTCAGTTTGTAAAAATCCCTTATCAGGGCAACATGAATCTTGCTAAAATTGAAGCAAAAATACATCAAATTTATGGTGATGGGTGGGTGGCAGAATGGTGAAATCATTGAGGCTTTATGAAAAGTTCATGGGAATAATGTAGCAAAGAAGGCAGCAGTTGAAAACTAGATAAGTCGTTTTAAGAGTGGGCAAGACGATGCTGAAGATGAAGCCTTCAACAACAAATCATCTCTATCAGTTTTCAAGAAAATAATTCTTCTTGTTATTGCTCTTATTGAAGAATACGAATGATTAAGAGAAGAGACAATGACCATCACTGCAGACATATCAACTGGTTCAGCTTGCACAAAGCCTGTCTTTACCAGTATGATCCTGAAGACAAAGCAGATTCAAATCAATAGTTGCCAAGAAGTAGAAGTCTAGTCAAAGCAAAAACTGACAGGTCAAGAGCAAAGATCATGGCAAGAAATTTTGGGGATGCTCGGTTAAAAAGATGAAGACACCCAATGAGATTTATTGGCACCATGGCAGTGGCAAAGGCTCAAGTGTAACAATTGTTAGGATGGTACAGGACCAGGCAGGGTTTCTTTCTGTTGTGTGTGCATAGGGTTGCTGTGAATTAGAACTGACTCAGTGACAAGTACCAACAATGGCAATAAGGCATTTTTCTCTTTGACTTTCTGGAGCAGCAAAAAGAGGTAACATGAGCTTGTTATGAGAATGTTTCAAGAACTTTAGCCAAGACTTTAACAGAAAAGCTTCCCTTGAAAATCCTTCTCTACCATGACAACACTCCTGTCGTTCGTCTCATCAAACAAGGACAATTTTGTGAGAGTTTCAGTGAGGAATCTTATTAGGCATCATCCTGAGAGTTCTCATTTGACTCTTTCTTACTTCGTTTTTATTGAAGGTTTTATTGTGGATTGAGTGAAAGTTTACAGGGAAGAACATCATTTTACATTCAATAAATCATATACCTTGTTTCATTACAATGATTATAATCCCCTCTATGTACCATCAGTTAACAGTATTTCCTTTATAATTGTGGCTGTTGCAATTAGTCATGATAACAGTTACTCACTATTGAATCATAAGAATCTTATCCCCATCTCTTTTAACCAGGCCCATCTAGACAAGATGAAAACTATTCAGTAGAGACACTTTCTTCAACCCCGACACACACACTATTAAACTCCCCCTTGAAATCATGTAAGCCAGTTACTTCATTCCGTTATTGCCCCCTCATTTCTGGTAGCCAGTGTCTAAGTTGCCCATCCCTATCTACCCTGTGTACAGACGGGATACCCTTGATACTTGATGTGAACACTCCATCCCTCTCTGTTGACATTTAGAGTTACTACCTCCATGAGTATAGGTCAAGTTCATCAAATTGTAGTGATTTACCCACGTTTCTTTTATCAATATTTGTTTTGTTCTCTTTTTTTCCCCTCTAGTTGAGTTCTGATTATCAAGCCATCGAAGCTAGGTCAAATGGGTACTGTCTGCAACTTTGGGTTTTCTTGTGCGACTCATCTCACTTCATATCAGCTGGAAGCTTCACTCTCAGCTCTAGCCCTCTGTGGCTATGTCCTTGTCCATAGGCTCAGGTATTCCCAGGCCTCACCACACTGTGGACCAACCAGCCCTTCATCTTCGCTCTCTCATCCCAACGTCACTGGGAGTCTGTGGAACGTGGTTGAACTCAGCCCATTTCTTCATTGCTGCCTTTTCCCCTCTTCCACTCACCAGCAGACCATGTGGTCATCAGCAAGCTTACATGCCTGCTCATGTGTTAACCTTTAAGTTTCGGCCTTAGAGGGGAGTTTGTCCTGAAGGAACTTGATTACTTGGCTTGATGGCTTCCTGGTGAACAACTTGCTTATTCTTGTAATAGCCACTCATACTGCCATTTTTGTTTTGGGTTTTTCCTACTTATCTTTCTTTGAAGATGTATTTTCTGTCTCTCTAGCTGTTCTTGGCTTGTCTGCTTATTCTTTTTAGTGGGAAAGTCCCATCTCAGTAGGTTCTGGATAGGGCTCAGGATTCCACCTAAGTTCCTATACTGCAAAGGCTCCACAGGAGGCCTATTTCACTGGGCCAGTTCTAGAACCCCTTTTAGGTATTCCAATCAGTTGTAGGTTGAAGATGGGCTTACAAGCTTTCTGTAATCATGTTTCCTGTCATTCATTCCTATCCAACTCAAGTTTCCATTTTGCAATAGTAGGCAAGGGAAACCAATATTCTTAAGACAGTCAAGCATCTTAGTAATATTTCCCTTCTTCAAACTATGCCTTGATTCCTGTATCACAGAGCCTTGTTGTTCCAAGTTTGAGCATGCATCACTATTTACCTCTGTCCCATTTAGCCCATGCAAACCTGTCTGTGTTCCCCTATTTACCTTGGTCTTCTACTCCCTCCCCCTTCTTGTGTGTGTCCTCCCCATTCTTACTTCATTTTGTATTCCTAATCTTGAAGTTTTGTTTTGTTTTGTTTTTAAGTGTGCCCATTTCTCTTCACTTATTGTAAAACAGAGCACACTGGGGCATGCTTAAATTCCTAGAACCCCTAGTTCTTTAAGGATGGACCAGTCACTGAAGAAGTATATCATGTTTGATAAAGTGGAGGGTCAGAGAAGAAAGGAAGACCCCTCCCCCCAGCGAGATGGATTGGCAATATGGCAGCATCAATGGGCTCAAACGTGGCAACCATTGTGAGGTTGGCCCAGGACCAGGCAGTGTTTCATTCTGTTGTGCACAGGGTCACTATGAGTAGGTACTGACTCAATGGCCCCTAACAACAATGTAACAACAAATAGTATCATCACCTACAAAAGTGTAAGTTTTGATGGAACTTAGATTGAGAAATAAAGCTTATATTTTTTATTTTTAATCTCATAATTTCATTATTCCATGAACAGTAAATAAATGTTTTTGACTGAATAAATGATTAAATACATAGTAGAAATGAATAACTGATTAAATCTAAAGAATTATATTTTCTTTCTCAGGTTTCCAGTACACTAAATATGGATGCCGTAGGAAAAGTGATAATAAGATGGTTCATCGCAGCTTCTGTGAAGCCAACAAAAAGCCGAAACCTATTAGAAGAATGTGCAATATTCAAGAGTGTACACACCCACTGTAAGCATTTATTTTAACTCTCATATCCTGAGGCCATCATGATTGGGATTTCAATCCCCTTAAGTTTTTAAAACTTGAATTGTGCTTTTTTGCTCAAGTTTTATATGAACCTCGTTAATATAGTCAAGTGTTTTTATAATAATTAACTTTTTATAATATAAAATTGCATTTGCCTCCTCTCCACTGTATTACTGCTCCCCAGAAACAACCACTTTCAATTGTTACATTTCCTTTAATATTTGACGCTTGTGCATTTCCATCTCCATGTAAACTATTTTTGTTTCAATTGTTGTTGTTGTTAAGTGCTGTTGAATCTGTTCTTACTCATAGGGACTGTATGTATAGCAAAAGGAAACATGTCCAGGTCTTGCATTATCCCCACAATTGCTGCTACATTAGAAACCATTTGAGTCTATTGTTGCTGCCACTGTGCCAATCCATCTCATGGGGGTCTCCCTCTTTTCTTCTATTCCTCCACTTTACCAAGCATGATGTCCTTCTCCAGGGACTGGTCCCTCCTGATAATATGTCTAAAGTACGAGAGATGCAGTCTTTTTGAAATTATGTACTAAATTACCACTTTGGAATGTGAGTTTTTAGCTTAGTTGTACAATCTGTCCACAAAATATATGCCCATAGGCATACTTGTATGTTCCCCAATACTTTCAATATTCCTATAACATACTTTTTTTTTTATATTAACTACAGTTTATATAATTTTATCATTTCAATAGTCACCTAGCCTGCCCAAGTGAATTCATAATGAATTATTTTATATCTGCTTAATTTTCCACTACTTTTCACTCATTAAATGAGCTCTGGTGCACTGAAGGATAAGCACTGAACTGCTTCTAGCCACAAGGTCAACAGATCAAGCCCTCTAGCCACTCTGCAAGGTAAAGATGAGGTTTTTTTTCTTCAGTAAAAATGTACAGCCTTGGAGAGTCTATACAGCTCATCATGGGTCAGTTTGAGTTCGATGGTAGCGGGTTTGATTTTTTGTTTGTTTGTTTTCACACACCCATCGCCAAACTTCCTTGAGTTTTAATTTCCTCTCAATATTACACGTTCGTATATCCCATCATTTTCCTTTTCTTAAAAGCATCTCTTAGGGAGCTCTCTGTGTTCTTACTCTTGTCTGGACTACCACACAGCTTCATTCTGGGATTACATACCTCTGGATTGTACAGGATCCACTGTTTCCCAAATGCCTTGTAGTCTTATCTCTATGAGTAGCCACTCCTTTTCATGGCTAGCATAGTGGTTACGAATCAAGCTGCAAACCTCAATGTCAGCAGTTCAAAACTACCAGCTGTTCTGTGGGAGAAAGATGAGGCTTTCTCCTCCTGTAAAGATTTACAACCTCAGAAACCCTGTACAGGGTTGGTATGAGTCAGAACCGGCTCCGCAGCACATAACAACAAGCTTAATGGAAGCAGATCATCTGGCCTATTTCTCATGGTACTTCTGGGTGCACTAAAACCATGAAACTTTAGGCAATACCAAACCTACTTCCACAGAGTGAATTTCGACTCATAGCAACCCTTCATAGAGTTTCTGAGACTGTAAATCTTTACAGGATCTGACAGCCTCATCTTTCTCCCTTATGTTTAACAGTCCAATGCCTACATCTTTGACTATATATTCAATAACTTCATATGCATGTGAAAGCTGGACAGTGAATAAGGAAGACCATAGAAGAATTGATGCTTTTGAGTTATAGTGTTGGAGGAGAATATTCAAAGTGTCATGTGCTGCCAAAAGAACCAATAGATCCATTTTGGAAGAATTGCAGCCAGAGTGCTCCTTGGAGGCCAAGATGGCCAAACTTCATGTCTCATACTAAGGACATATTGTCAGGAGGGACCAGTCACTGGAAAAGGATATCATGTTTGGTAAGGTGGAGGGTCAGAGAAAAAGAGGAAGACCCCCAATGAGATGGATTGGCCAAGTGGCATCATTGATAGACTCAAGCATGGCAACTGTAGTGAGGCGGGCAGTGTTTCATTCTGCTGTGCATAGGGTCGCTATGAGTCATTACTGACTTGATGGCACCTAACAACAATATATATATATATATATATATATATATATATATATGTTGTTGTTGTAGTTATGTGCCATGGAGTCGGTTCCAACTCATAGCGACCCTGTACAGGGTTTCCAAGGCTATACATCTTTACAGGAGCAGAAAACCTCATCTTTTTCTTGTGGAAAAGCTGATTTTTTCAAACTGCTTGACCTTGAGGTTGGCAGCCCTGATTCGTAACCACTACGCTAAAATACATGGGGGCTTCAAAATAGCTGTTAAAAACTGAATAAAAGATAAAGGAAGTTTTCCACAAACATTTTGAAGCCCACTCATAAAATTATGAAATCTATGACTATTGGAAAATGCTCTTAAAGAACAGATACACTGCCATTGAGTCAATTTTGCCTCATAGGGACCCTAGGTAGAGTTTCTGAGGCTATAAATCTTTACTGGAGCAGAAAGTTCCCTTTTTCTCCTGTGGAGCGACTGGTGGATTTGGACTACTGACCTTTTTGTCTGCAGCTCAATACATAGCCTTTTTATTGTTTGATGCCTCCATCTTCCTGAAACTGCTTCCTGACCTTCAGTGTACCCCTGACATTGCATGTCATTCAGAGAGTAGAAATACCTAGAGTGCACTGGCAAAAATGCACACACTCTATACCCCAAAGATAATGTTCAATTTTGATCCCTCATCCCGTAGATGGGTAGCAGAAGAGTGGGAGCACTGCACAAAAACCTGTGGAAGTTCTGGCTATCAGCTTCGCACTGTGCGCTGCCTACAGCCACTCCATGACGGCACCAATCGCTCTGTACACAGCAAGTATTGTGTGGGTGACCGTCCTGAGAGTCGTCGGTCTTGTAACAGAGTGCCCTGCCCAGCCCAGTGGAAAACAGGGCCCTGGAATGAGGTGGGTGTGTGAATTATGTGTGGATATATGTACACATTTTAATTTTATTTAAACATCAGGTAGACTTTTTGTGAATTAAAAAATTATCTCAAATTTTATCATCATTAGGCAACTAGAACTGTTAGGATAAATTAGTATTTCCTTTTAGATGCAATTCCACCCACTTCTATTGTGGTGCTGATTGGCAGTGTAAACCCTGTCTCATATTCTGTGTTCACACACTTGTCACACATTCTATGTAGTACCCAGTATATGGCACCTGTCCAAATGGTGTTTTGTTTATTGAATAGATGACTGAATGGATTATATTACCTATATTTATTTTTAAATTAAATCTGTAGTTTTTTTTCTTGTATACTTATCAGCACTCAGAGAATCCTTGAGTCACAGTTAGAACATTTACAGGAAGAAAGAGCATCAAAAGCAGGTAGAGAAAGAATGAGGACATGAAGAGTAGACTCAAGTTGGAAGGACTAGGCAAATAAAGGTTGCCTCTCACCCCAAGAGGACCGTAAATATAATGCATTTCCCATTCCTCCTTAGAATCCTCTACCAAAGCCCCTTTTCACAACTTCTACCTAAGACAATAGCATGGAATTTTCTGGGATTACTTTTAATACATGAAGATTTTCTTTAAAGAGACTAATTTCCAGCAACATAATGTAGTTCCGCAAAAGCTGAATTAACCAGGGTAGCATGTCAGCAAATTCTGCCATCAAAAAGGAAGGTGAGGACATGGGGAGCTCAATACAATAGCTAATTTCCCCCAAACAAGTGTGAGAACTAATTTGAGGAACTGTTTGTACAGTTAGGTGCCATAATGTAAGTTTCGACACATTGTGACCCCGTGTACAAAAGAATGAAACACTGCCCAGTCCTGTGCCATCCTTAAAATCTTTGCTGATTAAAACCATTGTTGAAGTCACTGTGGCAACCCATCGTATTGAGGGTCTTCCTCTTTTTTCTCTGACCCTTTGCTCTGATGTACTTCTCCAGGGGCTAGTCCCTCCTGATAATATGTCCAAAGTACATGAGATGAAGCCTTGTCATCCTTGCTTCTAATGAACATTATGGCCATGGTTTTTCTTCCAGGACAGATTTGTTCATACCAATTCACATGCATCAATTCTTTAGTAGCCAGTTTCTTTCATATCCTATGTTTACTAGTTACCAGACAATTTGCTAACTGCTTTACATACCTTGCTCCTTTTGCCTCACTATAACCCTACAACAATCCTGTGAGGCAGATACAATGGGGCTCCAAAAAGTTTATGGAAAAACATTATCTTTTAATTCAAAATTTCCATGAATTTCGATTATCCTGCCTCTTCATATTTAAGCAAACAATCAGAGAAGCTGGGTTATATGAAGAAGAACACAGAATCCAAAATGGAGGAAGACTCGTTAACACCCTGGAATAAGCAGATGACACAACTTTGCTTGTTGAAAGTGAAAAGGACATGAAGCAATTATTGATGAAGATCAAAAACTACAGCTTTCTGTATAGATTGCACCTCAACATAAAGCAAATAAACTTCCTCACAACTGTACATATAACCAACATTGTATAAATAGAGAAAATATTAAAGTTGTCAAGGATTTCATTTTACTTGGATCCATAATCAACATCCATTGGCAAATCTGCTGCCAAAGACCACTTTGAATTATTAAAAAGCAAAGACATCACTTTGAGGACTAAGTTGTACCTAAAACAAGCCATGGTACTTTTGAAGCTGTACGATGAATAAGGAAGAGTGAAGAATTGATGTCTTTAACTTATAGTGTTGACAGAGAATATTGAATATACCATTGACTGCCACAAAAATGAATAAATATTTTCTGGAAGAAGTACAGTCAGAATGTTCCCTAGAAATGAGGATGGAGAGACTTCGTCTCATGTACTTTGGGCATGCTATCATGAGGGACCAGTCCCTGGAGAAGGACATCATGCTTTATAAAGTAGAGGATCAGTGAAAACGAGAAAGGCCTTCAACAAGATAGATTGACACAGTAGCTGTAATTATTGGGCTCAAATATAGCAATGTTGTGAAGATGGAGCAGTACTGGGAAATATTTTGTTCTGTTGTACATAAGGTCATGAGGATTCAGAACCAACTCAAGGACACCTAACAACAACATTTTTCCAGACAAATAAGCTGATTATGATAGAAAGATATATAATATATATATCATGGCAGGCTGGTAAATGATGGAGTCAGGGTGCAAACAAAGAAACAAAGGATTATTTGTCTCTACAACCAGAGCGTGACACTGCATCCAAAGCCACATGCATGCAGGTGCACAGAGGTTGGAAGAAAATGATCTTGTTGGAATAAACTACCATCTGTAATTTATAGTCTATAATTGCAGCCTTTATTTCTGTAGTGTTCCGTAACCTGTGGGGAAGGAACGGAGGTGAGGCAGGTCATCTGCAGGGCTGGAGACCAGTGTGATGGAGAGAGGCCTGAGTCAGTCAGAGTCTGTCAGCTGCGTCCCTGTAATGGTAGGTGTGACACTGATTTTACTGGTCTGGTAATCTTTTAAAATAACTTCCAAAAGCTGAATTGCTTTTCAAGGTAAGATCTGGAATTTGAATTTGCTTATCAAGAAATAGCCAAAGGAAAATATCCTTGAATGTTAGTTTATTATGATTCTTCAAGTTTGTGTTGGAGGCATCAATGAATTATTGTGACCACAGCAGCTCCCACTGCCCTACTTATTAGACAGCCCTAGGATAAGGAAAGGGTCATGTCTCTGTAGCTTTTGTCAATTTTTGTTTCTACTGTGAGCTACATATTTTTTTCCATTACATACTTAATTATAACTATGTAGCATAGTAAAAGGCATACTGTTGCAGGAAGTTTTGAAAAGTTTTATTAAAGTTATTCAATTTAGCCATAAATGTCATAAATGTCACCCCAGTTCTAATGTCATTTCCAATACCTATCAAATATGTGATTTTCAAATAGACACATTGTACTCAGATTGAATTTGCTCAGATTTAATATTTATCACAACACCCTTCTTGTCAAAATGGGAGTGTATTTTATTTTAAAATATCAGTTGATTTGTAATTTTAAACAAAATATTTGAAATGTTTACATTCTTAATCATTTCCTTTATTTCTGCTTCCTTTTCTGATTATGTTGACTTCTGTTTTTCTGTCTCCTTCTGTGTGTCTATCTTCTCTTTGTGTCTCTCACTTGCTGTCATTTACAGTCTAGGTGTTGCTCAATTGCTCTCTCATACAGACTTTTTGCTTCTTGCTCTCCTTTTCTTTCTTTCTTTCTGTTCCCCCGTCTCTTTCTTTCTCCTGCTCTTTTTTTTCCTCTTTCCTCTAAGCTCATTGTCTCTTTCTCTCTGTTTCTCTCTCCTCACATGCTCTACTCTTTCTCTTCCTTCTCTTAGCATCTTTCTTCTTCCTTTCTCTCTGAAGTGCATTTCTTCCATATGTCTCTCTCTATCTGACCAGTTCCTCTGAGTGTCCCATCTCTCCACTTCTACTCCCTGACTTTTACCCACGTGGTGTCAAACTCTTTTCACAATCTTTCAGCTCTTCCTTTCTCTTCCTCCCTCCTTTCTTTTCTTCCTTCCTTCTTTCTTTCTCTCTCTTTGTCTCCTAGACCCCATGTCTCTATTCCTCTGTCTCTGTTTCACTCACTGCATCTGTCTCTTTCTCTCTGTCCTCTCTTCCTCCACTGTTTTCTCTCTCCCTGTCAGACACTCTCTCCCAGTTTTCTTTCTCTCTCTCATTTGTCTTTCTCTCATCTCTTCTCACACTTTTCCTTCCATCCTTTCTTTATCCCTATTTACAATACAAACATTCTCTTAAATGCAGTTCTCCCTTTTTTCCCTAATTCCATACCTAATGAAAATCATGGGCATTGTTTTGCCTCACTATAGGGGCTTAAGGAACTCTGGTAGCATAGTACTTAAGATTCAGGCTGCTAACCTCAAGGGCAACAATTTGAAACTTCCAGTCATTCCATGGGAGAAAGAAGAGGCTTTCTGCTCCCATAAAGATTTACAGCCTCGGAAACCCTTTACAGGGTCACTATGAGTTGGAACCAACTCCATGGTATTCCACCACACCCACCATCGTTGTTTTTTTTCAACAAGTATGACCACAAGAGGGAGACAAAGCACTTACATACTTGAGACTTTGACTTTAGAAAGTAGTACATTTGAAAATTCAAAATACAAGTAAAGTCAAAGCAAAAATAAAAGCAGACTTTACCCAGATAGAAACTACAAAGTTTATTGTCCTTGTACCTCTTGCTCTATATAGTCTTTACTGCCAGCAGCTAAACACTTCGAAAGTTTTATTGCTCTTAATAGCCTGTACAACTCAGCAAATGTACCCAATTGTCAGCATGACTTTGCTTGATTCTCCTCCTTTAGCCCAAAGAATTGTTTTTAATTGTGAAAGATTGTTGCTAAAGAGATGGGTATTACTATGTGATTGATTCCATATTCAGCTTTGCTACTCTGTTACTCTGAAATCTCTACTCAAGGTAAACACTGAGAGCTATAAAAATCTCATATTTTTGCCATATTTCAATCAAGTAACTAATATATCCCATTAGAATTTCAAAATGTTTTTAGAATCAAATGCCCTTATGTGTGCGTGTGTGTGTGTGTAAATGCACACAACAAAACATTCACCAATTAAATTGTTTGTGCATAATTCAATTACATTCTTAATTCAATTTTTCATATTGTACAACCCTTATTCTCATCTTTTTCCTAATTATCCCACCACTATTAGTGTCCTCAAGTCCTGGTGTAGTGCTGCGGGTTAATGAGTTGGACTGCATAGTTGGTTTGAACCAAAAGGTTGGTGGTTTAAGCTCACCAGCCGCTTCTTGGAAATCCTATACAGAGTTGCTATGGGTCAGAACCGACTCTATGGCACTAAACAACAACAATTAGTATCCTGGTGTGGTGCTGTAGGTTAATGCTCTGGACTTCAAATTTGGTTTGAATTGCAACGTTGGCAGTTCAAGCTCACAAGGCACTCCTCGGAAACCCTATACAGGATCTCTTTGGGTCAGATCAAATTCGATGGCACTTAACAATAACAATAACAACAACCTGGTGTGGCACTGTGTGATAAGCCCTAGACTGTTAACCTCAAGGTTAGCAGTTCTAACCCACCAGCTGCTCTTTGGAAACCCTATACAGGATCACTATAAGGGGATCCAACCTGATGACTCTTAACAACAACATCATTAATGTAAACTCAGTGTCAAATGGATGACTATAAGCCTCCTTAATTGCCGTGAGTGATTCCATTTCATCACCTCATTTTGATTGTGCTGTTTTCCTTAGAGCCTTTCCCATTTTATTCTTAGGCAAAGCACCATAAAATTAATGTATTCATTTAATCTTATTTATTTTTTCTCAAATAGCTCCCTTTACCTCCTCAATGCTGAAGCATATTGTGACCCTAATTAGACTCAGACTATGAGCCTACCTCTGCAAAGTCACTGCGCTCACACTGGAGTCTCTCATGTGGCTTCTTGCTCTAAGTCAGAAGTAATAGGTTTCACTTTTCAGCTGAGCTGTTTGGAGGGCTGGGATAAGGAATCTAAGGGACTTTACTTATGAAAAAAGGGTAAAATAAGGTCCTCTCATTTTAGGGTTTACTAACCTAAAACAGAGAAAGAAGACCTTTTCTTGTTTTAAGATAGAAGCATATACAACGTAATTCATAAATAATGAGCAATTACTATTGGAGCTGAAATTCATTGCATTGATTTCCGAGCATTCACAGTATAATTAGATGGTTAACTTAGTTAATGTTATTGAATAATAATAATATTTAATAAATAATAATAATATCAAAATGTATCAGACAAGGAAGTGTGACTCATTCTACAACTATAACAGAATTGCAAAGCTGGTAAGTATAACACTCCATTTTCCTTACCAATTGACTCTCCTAATTTTGTTTTGTTCTGATTTGCTTTTCATTGAAATTTTTTCAAAAGAAAGATTCTTTAACTACCTTAGCAAGTTACTTAACAGGTTTCTTAGCTGGTAATAAAAACATTATAATACATTATGGTTTTTCAGTGATTATACTATGAAAAGTCTTCATTTATCATTCTTTTGGATTATTAAGTAAGCATCAGGTCTATATTTCTGCGGTGCACAACTCCTACAATGCCACTCTATGTTTGCTCTGCAAAGGATACCTTGGAATAAGCACAAACCAACATAACCATGAACTCACCATTTGGATTTTTTAAAATCTAGTTATTATGATTTTCAAAAGATGAAAGCCAATAAATACTGTGTGTTTGTATACACACACACCTGTACAAATACTCACTTAAATTGTGCCAAGTGTCTTGAGTGTTTCTTTATTCCTCTTTAAAAACAATGTGCTATCAGTTCAATGAAATTAAAGTTTTAAGAGCCATGAATTACTTATAAGAAAGTTGGCAAGCTCTGTTCAAATTTGTGCTTTCAAATAATCTGGAAATATGCAGTGATAAGCATGAAACTCTTAAATTCAGGCTGGCAAATATTATTTGAATCAAAATGTTATCTTAGTTTTATTTTGGCAATTGTTTTTAAGATTTATTTTGTTCTAAGAGATCTTGAGTATCTTGTTTTGATTATAACTATAAATTTAATATAGAGGCTACCTTACTTGAAAGCCAGGAACTATCATAAAGCAAACAAACAAAAATCACATATGTTCTTTTGTGCCCCAGGAATGTTTGTGGTAGATTGACTCCTTTTTTTTCATTCTAAAATCAGACATGTATTCCTACTAGGAAGAAAATAAGTACTCTGAGTGGTCTGAAGACTTCTCATGGAGATCATTAGAATGGTGGTCAACTGAAGTCCTTTGTATATAGAGAATTACTTATATCAAAGAACTTATCCTAATATTCATAATTTTTATACAAAAACTTAGTTGGTCAACTCCTAATAATGCTAAATTATGCTTAAATCTTTTTATTGTCATCAACAATTTTATTTGCTTCATATTATTTTGTGTTTAATTGTATATATTATTTTGTCATATTTTATTTTTTCAGATGAACCGTGTTTGGGAGACAAATCAATATTCTGTCAAATGGAGGTGCTGGCACGATACTGTTCCATACCAGGTTATAATAAGTTATGTTGTGAGTCATGTAGCAAGCGCAGTAGCACGCTGCCACCACCATACCTTTCAGAAGCTGCTGAAACTCAAGATGATGCTGTCTTCAACCCTAGTGACCTCCCTAGATCTCTAGTGATGCCAACGTCTTTGGTTCCTTACCATTCAGAGACCTCTGCTGAGAAGAAATCTTATAGTAGGATCTCTGCATTGCAAGGTCCAAGTCTATCTGCTGCTTTCAGGCCAAACAGGAAACCAGATGGTGCTAACTTACCCCAGAGGAGAGCTCAACAAGCAGGAAGTAAGACACTAAGAATTGTCTCAGTATCATCCTCCCCAACCACCAAGAGTAGCGACCTCAATTCATCTTCACAGATGACTGCTGCTCCCCTCCTTGCAGTCAATGATTCAATAGGTGCTGCTTTTCAGACAAGAACCTCAAAGAGAAACGAAAAGATTGACAAGAGACGCCCTTTAAGGTCTTCCACCTTGGAAAGATGAGAAAATAAATATCAGAAGAAAACCCCATGGTACAGACAGCTTGTGTAAAGTAGAAATCCCCATAGATCGTCAACTCATTTTATCTGTAAATGGAAGCACAACAAAAAGTGCTGGTTCACTTTCTAGTTGCTTTCATCCTCTTGTTCTTCGTTGACTCATTTACCAGAGTTCATTGGAAGAAAGCACCAAAGATTATCAACAGAAGGAAAGTAAGTTGCTAAGTGTGTTGGTCACTCCCTAAAGCAGAAAAAGGACTGCAACTACTTGTACATATCAGCTGAATTTTTGTTTTAAAAAAGTTATAGTAAAAATTAAAAAGAGGTGCCAATGGTTTACACTTTACATTTTTTTTTTTTGAAAGGGAGCAAACATCCTTAGACTTTTATTCCTATTTATCTATATTAGAAATATTGTACAAGCAAATTTGCAGCTGTTGTGTAAATACTGTATATTGCAGAAATCAGTATTATTTTAAGAGATGTGTTCTCAAATGATTGTTTACTATGCTACATTTCTGGATGTTCTAGGTGCCTGTCATTGAGTATTACCTTATTTGACATTCTATGAGTTTATTTTCAAAGCAAAATGTTTCAAAGAAGAAGTTAGAATCACAGCTACTGACAATACAAATGATTTAATTGTATGATGTTGCAGAATCAATAATATGATCCTTAAATTAGAGGGAACAAAAAATGCATAAGCTATAAATGTACAGAATTCAATTGGATTATTGCTTTCTACTCTTAATTGAAAAGCAGTAGGACTAGTGTCTTAGTATAATTATTATCACAGGAAATCGTAATAAGACGAAATAAGATCGTACAAGACAGAACTGAAACACTTTTATCAGGGCTGATTTTTTGCTTTCCCTTTGTTGACACATATTAACAGTTATGCTCAATGCGCTGTAGTAATCACAGGGAAAAAAAATGTTTGAAGATAACTCATTTGTATGCTGATAGCTGAGGGAAAATAACATCATCTACCTAGAATTGACATGCTAGATTATTATGGCTTTAGGCTTTGGAAGGAGGTCCAAGAAAGCATCTCTTAAAAGTTTAAATATTTATTTTCTGTATGGTTCATATCCAAGTGTTCACAACCACAATGCATCTGACTGCAATAATGTGCTAGTAATTGATGTCAGTGATCACCTTGCTCACAGTGAAGCCAGAAATGCTCTCTCCAGGGAGTAGATGTAAAGTACTTGTATATAGGATTCAGACCCGATATTTATTAAAAGTTGATTATTTGGATAGTATTTTTATGTACTAAGTATTTACACTAATATCAATGACTTATTTTGGTAAACTAGAGAGACATATTTAGAGATGCATGCTTTGTTCTATTCAAAGAGAAGTTTAAGCAAACTACAGCAGCCAAATCACGGAACTAAAATTTAACAAATGTGCTGTTTTGTAAACATTTTTCATTTTGAAAGTAGTTGGTACAAAGATGATGATTTGTTGTTCTCTAAGGAAATATAAACTAGTATGGACTCAGATAGCTTGTTGTTGAATGAAAATAGAGAATTAGACCCTTTTTTAAATTCACGTGAAAGAGATGAGTACTTCCAGAATTACACTTAAATAAAAAGAAAGCTAAGTGTTGTCAGCATAATGTTTTTGAGGTCAATGCCTGAACTATTACAAATATATTATGCAAACTAAACTGTAGTTCTGTTAATGTCTCAAAGCACAAAATATGCAAGGACTTTTAACTATTATCAACGAACAGCCTGACCTTCTGACTTTATACCTCTAAAGAATTGCTGCTACTTTGTGCAAAACTTTTGAAGATCAAATGGATTTGGTTAGTTATAGATAATGAGCCAACCCCTGAGGCTCAAATAGAAGTTGCTGTTTTTCCCTCAAAATTTCCCTAGAATGAAATTGTCTCTAGTTTGCTTGCTTGTGCACACCACAGGGAACTAACTATAAAGATGGTCACACACATGCACCTCCCATAAAGATGTACATATTCATTCTACTTCTGACCTTTGAGCTTTCTTTTCTACTAAGCTAAAGATTCCTTTTTATCGAAGTGTACACTACTGATGCTGATTGTTGTATTGGGAGCATGTAGCAATTAAAATGTTAACAAAATATAGACTGTGCATCTTTTATCATTAGGTTCATCACAAAGTAATGAAAACTTGTAATTCCTTCCGACAAAGTTAAATGACATGAAATTCATTTGATACTTGGATGTTCTCTAAAAAGATGTAAATAAAGTGACTATCATCTGTTTTCACTTCAGAATGTATCATAATTTTGTTTAAGAAATACAAAAAATAAGAGGATTGGGTGTGGCTTTCTGCATAAATTCATTCTGTACAGCTACAAAAAAGCAATTGAAGATGCTGGTCCTTATGGGTAAGAAAAGAGAGTTTCTAGCTTTAAAATATTCTACCCCGAAATGGTTTTTAAGTAAAAGATGCTCATCAGCTTTGAATCCTGATCACCTGCGGATTGGTGTAAGCACATCGCTCATGCCTCAGGAGTGTAGGGAGAAAGGGAACATCAGAAAGCAGGGCCCATCACTAGGTGACAGGGAGACCCTGTAGTGTGGTACTTAACAGCTTGAACTGTGTAGGCAGACAGATCCAGGTCTAAGTTCCACTGACCACTTGAGAACTACATGACCTTGGCTAATATGGCACAAAATTTCCTCATCGGTCATTTGGGAGGTTAAAATGTCATACGTCATTGGGTAAATGCTATGAGAAATGAAATATTAATAGTAAAACTGTTAGCAATTCATATAGTTACTGGCAATAAATATTAACTTTCATTTTCTTTATTGTTCTTGTCATTGTCATCTTCATTATATAACTGAACCACAGAATTCCTGTATGGCCCACAAATCAATGGAATTGTAAGCAACATGGTTTCATGCATCTAAAGACAAACAATTTAGCTTTAAAAATTAATAGAAAGGATCACTTTTAATCTATCGTTATTAGGTTTAAAAATTTTTGACTAATAGTGTCCACTTTCTCTTTGCAAATAATAAATAGTCAAACTAATGGAAATTATATGCATTTCTTCAAAGATGCTGAATCATTCAATAATGGTCCAAATTATTAGGGATAAAAGGTTTCTCATCTCTTTACATTCCATCCCTAAAATATTACTACACTCACAGAAATACGAACAGAAGTAATTCCTATTTATTGATTATATATTTTCTTCATGGAGAAACTGCTTAAATATAAATATGAAAGCCATAATCCATTAAAAAATGATGAAAACATGGAGAAACCAGAGTATATGCCTTGTTTAAAGAGGTTGTTATAGAATACTAGTTTTCCTCTCCAGCAAATACAAATTTTTATTTTTTTACCAAAGACTTTCCTAGAGGAAATGCAACTACTGAAGAAGTTGAAATATACCAGGCATGCTAATTTGAATTGTAATAAAAGATTTAAAGATTAAAAATAGACTGTTGAAGTAAAACTGCTTTAAATACAATTGTTGTTAAATGCCATCCAGTAAGTCCCAACCTATATTTACTCTGTATAGGGTTTCCTAGAAGCAGCTGGTGAGTTTGAAACACTGACCTTTCAGTTAAAACCAACTTTACAGTTCAGTGCTTATCCTACATTGCGGCACCAGGACATCATAAAAACCACTTTAGGGTAGGTAGGTATTATCCATATGTTACCTAGCATTAGAAACATTAAGATTTTGGATCCATACACCTGGATAATTCACTGAGAGTTAGAGATAAGATTTTTAAAGTTCACTAAAATGGTGCCTTCCCATCAAAAAAAAGTATGGTGATGGTGGTGGTCGTGGTGGTTGTGTGCTGTTGAGTCGGTTCCAAGGCTTATCAGAGTGTACACTACAGATGCTGATTACTGTATTGGGAGCATGTAGCAATTAAAATGTCCACAAAATATAAACTGCATCTTTTATCATTAGGTTCATCACAAAGTAATAAAAACTTGTAATTCCCTCCAACAAAGTTAAATGACATGAAATTCATTTGGTACTTGGATGGTCTCTATAAGATGTAAATAAAGTGACTATATTTGTTTTCACTTCAGAATGTATCATAATTTTGTTTAAGAAATACAAAAATAACAGGATTGGGTGTGGCTTTCTGCATAAATTCATTCTGTAAAACTACAAAGAAGCAATCTTTATGAATCAGAGCGCCTCATCTTTATCCCACAGCATGGATGGTGGATTTGAACTGCTGACCTTGCAGTTAGCAGCCCAACTCATAACCCACTCTGCTACCAAGGCTCAAAACCAAAAATTCCTAAAGAAAACAAGATGCTATAATTTTCATGTAAGTCTGCAAAATTATCACAATTTAAGAACTAACAAGCCCTGATCAATAGCTGGAGCATAAATCCTGCTTAACAACAGCACTCAACAATACCAGCGACAGTTGAGGTTAAAATTAATTCAAGAAAACCAATGAACTCAGCACCTGATAGGTATTATGTGTTCTATTAAGAATTTCAGTTGATATTTTCTCTGTTGTTGTTAAGTACCATCAAGTCAGTTCTGAACATAGGAACTCTAGATAGTTTTCCGATGAGCGACTGGTGGGTTAAAACTGCTTATTGAACAGTTCAAACCTACCTTGTGGTCCAGTGCTTATCCTATAGTGCCATACAGAGAATCTTTTTGAAAGATATTTCTAGTGATAATTAATCTCAAAAGATAAAATTTAGTTATGGTAACTCAAAGTCACAATTTACACCAAGTCTCATTTGCCCAAAAGTGTCCTATATATCCAAAGGAATGTGGCATACAAAGATAGAAGTAGAAGGTTGTATAAACATGCATTGTTGCTTAGGGCTTTTGAGTCTGTTCCGACTCATAGTGATCCTGTAAAATGTTTCTGAGGAGTGGTTGATGAATTTTAAACTGCCAACCTTATGGTTCAAACCCACCTTATAGTCCAGTGCTTATTCTACAGCACCACATCAGAACTCCAAAGCATGCATATAACGTAACAATTATTTTTTTTAAATAAGCACA